GGGGGGGGGGGGGGTACTGTACATTTTCGGGGTGCGTTCAGCGTTGTTTAGAGAAATCCTGATAAACCCATCAGCTGCGTTTCTGCTTGCCAGCGTCCATTTTGTCATCATGTGTGCAGCTGCTTGTGTTTAATGGAGGTTTGGATCAGAGCCACAGACTGAACACACATACACACACAGACAGACAGACAGACAGACACACACACAGACAGACACACACACACACACACACAGACAGACACACACACGCTGAGCTTCATTTGGATTCACAGACTGAAATCCTCAGAGAATTGTATCACAGCTTTCATCCCCCTTTTATCATCCCATTACCATGGCAACGCCTCAGGGTGTGAGTGTGTCTGCGTGTGTGCATGTGTGTGTGTGTGTGTGTGAGAGGATCAGCATTCAGGCAGAGAAATGAACGTTTTACAGAGGAGATCTGATCTGGAATCTGTTTTCAGTATATTGATGCAACAATAAACAGAGAAAGATAAATAAAGATAAAATAGAGACAATATGACTTTTATTTAAATAAATGAATGAAGAGCTGCAGTTTGTGTTCACAGTGTGACTCATAAAGGATAATATATAAAGACATCAAATCTAATAAAGAAATAACTTAAATGTCGGCTGGATGTCATCAATTCAAAAGAACAGAAGAAAACAGGATAAATAATAACCAATAAATATTTTTACATTAATAATACGTTATTATGTCAATATACAAAATTCAACTGGTTTTCTTTCTGTGGTTTATATAAATATAAATTCAATAACTTTTGTCTGTTTTCTGGTTTTTAAACACTCATTTATTTCTTGGACGACACAGTTTGAGAATGTCTAATATTGTTTAATATGGATCAGACATGTAATGTATGTTTGTACTTCTGATATCACTGACAGAAATCAGATAATCTGCTTCCTTCACGTCATCCTCCTCTTCCTCCGTGTGTGTATGTGTGTGTGTGTGTGTGTGTGCAGCTGTCCGGAGCAGAGAAGCCCCCTGCTGGAGAACCAGAGAACAACCCGTCATCAGCCGCAGCAGCAGGATCAGAAGCTACTGCAGACGTAGGCAGCAAGGTGAGACAACACTGCCCCACCGAGGGGCAACATAGGGATTATAAAGTGGTAGTAAAGGGGTTATAAAGGGGTAATAAACTGCTCAAAAACCATCCATATCTCTGGTTTTACACAAACTTCCTGCAGTTACTGAGTTCACTGTTTGGATTCATTAATCAGTTATCAGCTGTTCTCTGCTGTTATTGATACAGATCGATAGAATAAGAAATATACTGACAATACAGTCAGTTTACTCACTGATAGAAAAGTGTCATCTAAAGGAGATAAAGAGAAACCTTTAACAAACACTGAACAACTGATTCATTAAATACCGTGGTAGAAGAAGTATTTAGGTCATTCTCTGAACACCAGAGTGTAGAAACGCTCTGCTCGTACGGCAGAATGGCCCAAAATGTATTACTGGATTATAATTATTAATGTGTTCATCACTTTTATGTTGCAGCTGGTAAATGTGGGGCTCATTATAATGACTTAACTTATTGCTGCTACACTAACTAAAAATAATACATCATTATTTATTATCGATTTTTTCGATATGGTAATAATGTGAATCTGCTGAAGACATGGTGGAGTGAAAGTATAAAGCAGTAGTATAAAGTAGAAATACTGAAGGAACTTGAGTGACTCTGAGCCTCCTTGCAGGTGGAGATGGTGTTCTGGCTGCTCTCCATGCTCGCTAACAGAGATAAGGAGGAGATGTCTCGGACTCTTCTGGCTCTGTCCAGCTCTCAGGACAGCTGCATCGCCATGAGGAAGTCTGGCTGCGTCCCTCTGCTGGTTCAGATTCTGCATGAGGGTCCAGGCAGCGGCAATGGGCCTGGCGAGACCACAGCGAACGGTACGACAGCGGCGGGCTGCAGCCGAGAGGCCAAATCCAGAGCCGCCGCAGCCCTCCACAACATCATCTACTCCCAGCAGGACGAGGGCCAGGCCCGCCGAGAGATGAGGGTGCTGCACATGCTGGAACAGGTCCGGACCTACTGTGACAGCGGCTGGGACTGGATCGAGAGCCACGCAGGGACACCTTCGCCTGCAGGAACCAAAACCACTGGTGAGTCAAGTTTTTGGGGAATTGTTGCAGCCTAAAATTCCTGATTTCATGAAAAAAGTGGGAGTTTAAACACTGCTAGTGTAGGAGCAGAGGGACCCAGTGGGCAATACTCCCACAGAATTCATGGGGGTTGATTGAATTTGGGTTATTTTTTACGTTTGCCACTTCCTGTAGTGACGGATATTTAGAGGCAAAGGTGTTTCCTCATTCAGCAGATTTATCGTTATTCTAATCTTCTTTTTTTTCTTCTCTGCAGACATCCCTGAACCTGTGGACCCTCAGATCTGTCAGGCCATGTGTGCCATCATGAAGCTTTCCTTTGAAGAGGAGTACCGGCGTGCCATGAATGAATTAGGTTTGTGAAACACCTACAAATCTTTGGTTTTTCCCGACATCAGTGACGCACTCTGTTAACAGTTTTGTGTTTTCTTCCAGGCGGTCTGCAAGTGGTGGCTGATCTGATCCACCTGGAGCAGGACATGTACGGCATGCAGAATGACCCCATCAACATGGCGCTGCGCCGCTACGCAGGCATGGCGGTGACTAACCTCACTTTTGGAGACGTCGTCAACAAGGTACAAAAAGAATGGGCAACTGGAGCGAGTACAGAGACTTTATTGATCACAGTATCACAGCAGCAAAAGGAAGTATAGAAACATATTATATGAATAAGAGAAGCAACATCAAACCAAAGTACATTCAAATACAACTTGGATGTATTTTAATTCTAAGCTACTTAATACTTAAAAATTGTACTGCACCACACTTACTTTTAATTACATTTCAGATTAGGACTTTCTAAAATGTTAAGTAATTGATATAAAGCATGTCACTTAAAATTAGCTCCACGTCGGCAAGCTACAACATTAATAATAATGTTTTTGTAACAATCAGGTAATATATGGTAGCATTACAATGACAGGGGCCATTCTAATGTTAGCATTAAGATTACTTTATTTATTATTACTTTTTTTGCAGCGGTGTAAATGTTGGCTTGTTCTGAGCATTAGCCTATTGGTAGCTATACTGTTAGCGTAACAATATTATTAACCCTGGTGTTAGCATGCATGCTGTTAGTCTTGGTGGTGCCATACTGTAGTTAGCATTAAAATGTTATTAACCTTGGTCTAATTGGTAGCATTTTTTTGTTGTAGTTTAAATGTTGGCATGTTTTGAGCATTAGCCTATTGTTAGCTATAGTGTCAGGGTTATAATGTTATCAACCCTGGTTAGCATTAAAATGTTATTAATCTTGATCCAAAAACAAACAAACAAAGAAAAAAGCAGCAGCAGCATTTTTTTGTGCAAAAACTGACTTGACCCTGTCTGTCTGTCTGTCTGTCTGTCTGTTTGACCTCCACCCCCTTTAGGCCACTCTGTGTTCAAAGAAGAGCTGCCTTCAGGCTCTGGTGGCCCAGCTGGCCTCAGACAGCGAGGAGCTTCATCAGGTGGTTTCCAGCATCCTGAGGAATCTGTCGTGGAGGGCCGACATCAACAGCAAGAGAGTCCTCAGAGACATCGGTTGTGTGTCTGCACTGATGACCTGTGCCCTGCAGGCCACAAAGGTAACGGAAAACAAACCAATCCACACAGAGGAGATACAACAATAACAGAGAAAATACTTTATTGTAGGAGGCAATGTGAAGAAGATATGTTTGTTTGTTTGTTTGCAAAGGAGTCCAAATAAAACCTTTTTTTGTTTTTCTGGTTTTCCAGGAGTCGACCCTGAAGAGTCTTCTGAGCGCTCTGTGGAATCTGTCTGCTCACAGCATCGACAACAAGGTGGCGATCTGTTCAGTGGATGGAGCTCTGGGCTTCCTGGTCAGCACACTGACGTACCGATGTCAGACCAACTCGCTTGCCATCATCGAGAGCGGCGGAGGGATCCTTCGAAATGTGTCGAGTCTAGTCGCTACACGAGAAGATTACAGGTGGGTTTCTGAGAGTCAAACACTGATCGTCACAATAGTAAAGAAATGTCTTCCTTTTTGTGTATAGCCACTAGAACAGACCCTTTAAGAATAACTAGCAAGTAATAATTTGCTTCTTCTGGACATAATAAATTGATTGAAATGTCTTTCCCTATCTTTCTTCACAGGCAAATCCTCAGGGACCACAACTGCCTCCACACTCTGCTACAGCATCTGCGGTCCCACAGCCTGACCATAGTGAGCAACGCCTGCGGGACTCTCTGGAACCTTTCTGCCCGAAGTCCGAAAGACCAGGAGCTGCTGTGGGACCTAGGGGCAGTTAGCATGCTGCGCAACCTTATCCACTCCAAGCACAAGATGATAGCCATGGGCAGCGCCGCAGCTTTAAGGAACCTCCTCACCAATCGACCCCTGAAATATAAGGATGCTGCAGTTGTATCCCCCGGCTCCTGCATGCCCTCACTCTACATGAGGAAACAAAAGGCTCTGGAGGCCGAGCTGGACGCCAAACACCTAGCGGAAACCTTTGATACACTTGAGAAACAGAGCCCCAAGCACTTGACCCTCAACAAGCCACTACGGCACATTGAGAGTCTGGCAAAGGATTACGCATCTGATTCTGGTTGTTTTGATGATGATGAGGCCCCCAACGTCTCCAGTAGCCTGGACACTGGGAGCTTCTCGATGCTGTCTATGTTCCTTACCAACTCTAATTTCCTGCAAAACCAACCACGTAAGAGGGACAGTGAACCAGAGAGAGACATAGATCCGCCTCAGACGGTCGAGAAGAGACGCGCACCTCCTGACGATGTAGTATCTGCCGCTGCAGAGAAGCTAGCAAAAAAGATCACCAACACGGTTGCCAAGATCGACAGGTTAGTTGAAGACATCACCATGCACACATCCTCTGAAGACAGTTTTAGCCTCAGCTCGGAAGACCACCTGGCGGACTGGCCTTACGGATTGGATGAACTCAATGAAGCCAGAGCGAAATCATGCTCCCCCTGCCGTCTCTCTGATACAAGCAGCCTGGCTCACAGAGAACGCCTCAGTAGAGCACACGCCCTCTTGCGCCTCAAAACTGCCCATACAAGTGTATCAACAGACAGCCTGAACAGTGGAAGCACCAGTGATGGCTACTGCGGCAGCAAAGACCAAATGCGACCTCCTCCAAGAGCTCTAATGATGCAACAACGACCCAACCAGCTTGATCTCAAAGTGGCTCATCAAGATTACCTTAATGTAGGACCTTCTGTCCTTAATGAGACTAACCAGCAAGATATTCCTGAGAGAGATTCTGTGGACAACAAAGACGTGAAAGCTCTAGAGTTCGGCAGCACAGATGCAGAAAAGAACCAGGATCAACCTGTGCAAACACCTGTCAGTGTATCCACAAAAGTCTCCTCTGATGTCAGCATGACTTCAATTAAACTGTCTCCTTCTTATCAACAGGTCCCACTCATTCAGAGTGTGGCCAAATTTGGTGTAGCAAAGACAGCAATCAATGTCCAAGCAGCTCAAGCAATGCGGAGGCAAGCATGGGTACCTACTGTAATGACTGGGGGAAGTATTACAAAGTTTTCTCCAATGACATCCACCAGAAGCCCAACCATTGGGACAATGGAGACGGTCCAGAAATACTCTGTGGAAAACACCCCGATTTGCTTCTCCCGCTGCAGTTCACTTTCCTCTCTCTCCTCTGGCGACGGAGCACTTGATGGACAAAGTGAAAATGAGCTGGAGAGTGACTCATCATTAGAAATAATTGAAGTGGAGGATGAAGAAATGGTGAAAAAAGCTGAAGAGGATGAAACCTTGGAGGACCTGAGTGACAGCCAGCTGCTGATGACTGACTCAAAAACCTTTCCCAGTAAAGAAACCGATCCCATTGAGATCCCCTGTCCTGCTAAAAGGGAAAAGGTGTTCCTTAGAGCAGCTTCACCAGCCATACTTGAAGACAGATCTCCATCCAGTTCATCTGAGAATTACATACACGAGACACCCCTGGTAATGAGTCGCTGTAGCTCAGTCAGTTCACTGGGCAGCTTTGAGTCTCCCTCTATTGCCAGCTCAATCCAAAGTGACCCGTGCAGTGAGATGATTGATGGAACAATAAGCCCTAGTGATCTTCCCGACAGCCCAGGGCAAACCATGCCTCCTAGTCGAAGTAAAACTCCCTGTTGTGTTGAGTCAAATGGACCAGAAACACAGACCACAGGAATAGCAGGCCAGTGGGAAAGCAGCCTGCGGAAGTTCATGGAGATTGCAGACTGTAAGGAGAGGTTTAACCTTCCTCCTGACCTGGACACAATGATCTACTTCACTGTGGAAAAGCCCACGGAAAATTTTTCTTGCGCTTCGAGTTTAAGTGCTCTGCCTCTTCATGAACACTACATACAGAAAGATGTGGAGCTGAAACTGACACCCCTACTCCAGCAAAATGACAAAAATCTTCCTTTCCCTGATGAGGATGAGCAAGGACTTGACCATGGGGAGAGATATAGTGAGGGCAACTCAGATGATGACATAGAAATCTTAAAGGAATGCATCAACTCAGCAATGCCTTCCAAATTCAGAAAAGTAAGACCTTCCCTGATGACCACCATCCCTCCTCATATTCTGAATTCCCAGGTCCGAAAACCAATACATCTCCCAGTGTACATGATGCTCCCAAATGGCAAAACCCAAATATGTCCTGGGAGGAGAATTGTCATCCCACAAAAGGACTTAAAGTTTGATGATTCGTCCTTCACTGATTCTGCAGAAGGTACACCTGTTAACTTCTCCAGCACAACATCGCTAAGTGATGAAACAATTCAGTATCCCGTGAAGGAGAGGGGGGCTAAAGACTGCACAGCTAAAGGTATGAACAAACAGTTGCTCGATGATGAGGCAAAGAGGATTGAAGACTTGAGGATATTCTCACACTTCCACAAACCCAACAGGATGAACTACCCACCTGAGATACAAATGAACCGAACAACTAAACATGTCATTCCTACTCAGAGGGTGCTGATGCAAAGCAAAGAGGTAGCCGATAGAGTGGCAAGCCAAAGAAATCGTGATCAGTCTCCTAACCAACAAAAGAGGAGGCAAGGTCAAGGCCCAGTCAGGAAACTGGAACTGCCGGTCATAAAGCAAAACACAGAAGGTAACCTTAATGTGGGATCACAAAAAGGAAACACAATCTATCGACAAATGACACGTTCTTCAGAGGACAGTAACGGATTCTATGATGATGAAAATGACAAAGATGAAGCAATGAAACAAACAAGTAGAAAACAGATCAGGGAAGCAAGCAGAAATACTCTCTCCCGGAGCATGACAAATATTGGCAGGATTGATAATTCCCAAGGAAGGTCCAGAGGGTTTCACAGGATTAAACAGAATTTGATAAAGGATGAATCCTTGGCATGTTACTCACTAAGTTCCTCTCTCAGTTCACTGAGTGATGCAGAGTTTGAAGATCATAAATCAAAAGCCCAGCAAATATGGTATAAAAACAGACACAACAAAACACTCAATATGGCACAACAAACAAAGTCTATGACCATTCACAGCCAATACGAAGAGCCAAGTTCACCAAGCTCTGTCAGCATGGATTCAGAGGATGACCTCCTTCAGAAATGCATAACATCTGCCATGCCCAAGCAAAGAAGGAAGCTTGCTGCCAGGAAGAAGAAAGCTGAAAATACTCAAAAACAAAAACAAAAGGCATCTGATGGGTGGAACATGGATGAGGAAATGGATAGTGATGATACAGCATGGGATAAAGATTCAGACCTCAATAGTGTTGAATGGAGAGCCATACAAGAAGGTGCTAATTGTGTTGTCACTGGGCTGCAGGCATCAAAGTCTCAAGAGCCATCTTCTGAAGAGACTGAATCAGTCCTGTCATTCATGTCAACATCCAGCTTTACACCCAAAGAACGGAAGTTTGCTAAAGAAAAAAAGGCAAATAAACCTCTAGACTTCGCTCAGCGGAAGCCAGTTGCAAACTTACCAGTGGTTTTCAGAGGCAGGACAGTGATCTATACGCCGAAAAAAGAGACAGCTCCATCACAAAGACCTCCTCCCAGAAAAGTACCAACCAAGACAGATGCTCCAAAGAACCCAAACCTTGCTCAGCATAGATCAAAGAGCCTTCACCGATTAGGCCAGCCCCAGGAAACTGAGTTTTCTTTGCCAAAGAGGAGCTCTACTCCACCTCCAAGGATACCAAAAAGTTCATCCTCTGGATCATCGCAAAGCTCTACACCATCCAAACATTCACAGAAGAAGATAACGTCCCCGACACAGACAAATAAATCCATCCAGAAAAAGAATGCCTCCCCAACCAGTCCGCCAGCTAGTAGTCCCCCTGAAAGAAAGGGACGCTCTCCTGTTGTGAATCAAAATGAAAAATCCCCACCACCTAAAACTCAGAAGTCACCTGTCCGAATCCCTTTTATGCAAAATTCAGTCAGGCCCAGACCTCTGTCACCTCTGGTGACAAATCAAACATATGGCAGACAAACCAATCAGGTCAGTGGGAAAAGGGTGTCGCCCGCCAATAGACTTGAACTGGTCAGGATGACTTCTGGCCATTCAAGTGGTGGTGAGTCTGATCGCAATGGATTCTTGAGACAGTTGACTTTCATTAAGGAGTCAAAGACTGTGCTAAGACGTGATGGCACTGCACGCAACATGCCTGGATCTCAGAATGGATCTCAGAATGGATCCCCCCGCAGAGCAGTTCCTGGAGCTTCAGCTGTCTTCCTTTGCTCATCACGCTGTCAGGAACTTAAGGCAGCTGTGCAAACCCAGAGAAGGGTGCAAGTCAAAGGTCCAGCACAAGCACAGCAAGTCCAGAGGCCAGACCGTGGCCTTCAGAAGCAGACAAAAACCCTCTCTCGAGCTACTTCAAGTGAAAGGGACCTATCTGCAAGACGCCCAGGCAGGAGAACAAGTTCTGAAAGCCCCTGCAGAGTGGCTCAGCAAAATGGGCCTGGCAGAGTGTCTGGAGCCAGGCAGCAACAAGACAAAGATAATTTTAAACGTCACGCCTCATCACCAAGCATAAACATACTGAGCAGAGTGACCAGCCGTTCTTCCCTCCGCTCCTCATCATCTGATTCAAGTGGAAGAGCAAAGAGCGAGGATGATACAAAGAAGAAAGGGCAGAGATCTGCATCTCGGCTAAATGACAGAGTCACCTGGAGGAGGATCAGGGATGAAGATGTACCTCAGATCTTGAAAAGCACTCTGCCAGCCAATGCATTACCTCTGGTGCCTTCTCCTGACGGGGAAAAGCCAAAGCCAGCTCTTCCAGGAAAACTGCCAACCATTCTCCTTGCATCTCGCAAGACAAGTGACGCAACTGTCCAGACAGAAGATTTTTCAAACAAGATCAACTCGAGCACCTCTCCGACGGTTGAAACTGCCTCTGTGATGTCAGAGGAAGTGGCCAGACTAGCGCTATTCAGAAAGATTAGTGCCACCTCTGGGAGTAACCTCCAGGATGGAGATTCAGATGGCTCCCTGAGGAGCCACAGCACCGTCTCTACAGGAACATCAGACAGCCACGTGGGTGGAGCTGTCCATTTCCGCCAAGGATCCCCCAGCAAAGCCGCACGAATTACTCCATTTAATTACACCCCAAGTCCCATGGCCTGCTGCCTACAAGACACACAGAGCCAAACAGCCACAGTCAATGAGAAGTCAGTGGGAAAAAGTGAGTTGTAGGACATTTAGTGGACAACATGGATGACTCTACTGTGTTCCTTTATGAAACTCAGCACTCAGGTGGACAAGGAGTGTGCTGGTCCCTATACCTCGGGTACTGACCCTTTACTTTCTCCATTCACTGCATTCAAGTTTTTCTCTGAACAATTTATCACAGCTTCCATCTACCATTCATAAAGGGTTGGATGTATGCATTGAGACCGGTCTGACATGAACAGGCCATCAATAACTTTTAGAGATGCACTTCAGAGAAAAAATATCTCACACGAAACGAAGTGCATCTTTTTGTACTTTTTTTGTATTTGTAGAATAATCATTGCCTGGTAGAAATGTAGTGAAAACATAAAGCAAAAGACAATGAACTTGAGCACATAAATCACCATCGGTCTCCTAGACAGAATCGATAAAAGAACAATATTATGCAAACTTTTGAAGGATAACTCGCTGGACTTTTACCTGAAAAGGTGAAAACTATGGCGGACTGTTGACTCACAAAGGACATAATTCTTTTTTCTTCTCTTTTTTTACATACATACATCCAGTACATCAACAATTTGGGTCTTTGACTCACAACTCAACTGTACATGATACACTGTTAGCCTTTCTGGTTACATATATGGAGCTCAGTGGGGTTGGGGGGTACATTTTTGATCAAACATTTCTTCAAATTAATAGTAAAATCACCATATTGCATTTGTATAGGGGATATGCCATAGTTTGTGATGATAATAGAGTGCCCTCTTTTCGACCACAAGGCAAACTTCTTAAAACTGTATTCAAACAGCTCATTGCACTTCGAAACTCATCTATGTTCAAATACATTTTCGCACTATTATGGGGTTGCTATCTGTATAAATGGTAGGGCAGATTTACAATATATAATCTCTCTGCTCGATGTCATCATATTGCCCAAATTAAGTCAAATCTGAGGGTATGATTCATCACAAATTTGCACCCGGACACCTACTGGACTCCATCACTGCTGCAGAAAATATTATAGCAAATACCGTCATTTTCCAAACTATCAGCTGATTTGGAGTAACACTCTCTCCTTCACACTCTCCTGTACTCTATCTTAATCAGTATTGTAAATAACTTGCAGATATACAAAATCTTCAAAGCTTCCCAGTGGGCAAAAGAATCTCTGTGTTGCTCCCTGACAGCATGCTAATATATTCACCAACTGTATACACACTCCCATTACCATTGTCGAAACTGGATGAAAATTCCGTCTAAAGCCCGACGAGAGTATCACTAGCCATCTGTATTCAAGTGCCGCAAATACCTATAATGCTATAGACTGTCAGCGTAGATAAACAAAGCCTCTGTTAATCGAATGCAATGACATTATATTTGTGTTTGCTACTAGATTCAGACACTGTTTGCTGTTGAGTATTTCCTGTCGAGAAACGATTTGATTCAGTAAGGGTCGGGCTTTCAGTCGACGGTATCCTTACAGAAGTTATCCTCTGGAAGTCTTTATAACGTGTTAATATCTGCTTAACTGTGTTGCTGTTAAAGTAGTGATAGGTCGAGAAGTCGAATATAAAGAATATTCTCTGTAGTTGTACCATCACTCCTCCATGTGTGCTCGCAGATCAAGGACAGCAGAGTGCTGGACGGAACATTAATCTACATTAAGGGGCTGTTTATTCATAAAAACGAGGTTTTGTATTTACTGCTACCACCCTTCTGTATTTCCAAAGCATGTTCTAAGTATGAATAAAGCCCAAGTCGCTTTTGTCCCAGTGGCCATTTTAAGATAAGTGATACACCACCAAAATCTACTTAATCTTCTGAGTATCAAACAATCACCCACTGTATACAGTATGTTTGGAAGCACATTTCCACCTATGTGACAGGAAAATAATTATGCTGTATCTCATTATGAGAAACTCTTACAATAATGACTTACATCTTTCTAAAACCTGCATGAGAAATTCCAGTTTGTTAAAGTGAAATTGTAAGAAAAAGTAGAATGTCTTCATAAAATGTGTACAGTACAGATTACAAAGCACAGAATTAAAGCAGAAAACTGTTTGTGACACACATGAAAACTCAACTCAAACTTAAATGTTGACCTAAAAACCTCAGCGTTGATATAATTTCTGCACAATTGTTTGTTTTCTCGACACTCACAAATTCTTTGTGCAGCTACAAACAGGGCTGAGCAATATGTCAAATTATTCAGATTCATTCAAATTTTGATTTTGCATAATGAGTAAAATGTCTACATTGTGAAAATGGAGTTATTACAGCGTGCACAAGGTTTCTGTCCGTCAGTCACGGAGATGAGAGCTACTAAATTAGCCGTCTTTAGTCATGATGGTCCTGTAAACCGTTTATATGTACACTGGCTGTGGATTACAGGACCGTCCTGACTCCAGATATCAATAGAGGTGCAACAATAAGTCGATAAATCAATTAGTTGTTAACTTAATCGCCAAATATTTTGAGGCCGTAACCGTCGGCTTGAAAGGTGAATTTCTAAACTTGAAGGTTTGATACTCAAAAGACAGATTTTGGTTGGGAAATCACTTGAACAGCCCCTAAAGAGTAAAATCAGGATGAGAAAGATGAACATTGTGTGGGAATGGGGCTCCATGTTAAAAAACCATCAGAAGGTCCTGGAGGTTAGTCCGCCATCACTGCCGGCGGCCTTGTTCAAGTCCGGCTGGAGATCTAAGACAAGTTCATGTCCAAACGAATGCAGACGAGTTTAAAATACTGCATTCAGTGCTCCAGTTCACAAACTAAATGTTGAAGTAAAATTAATCTGTACATGCATGTGACTGAATCAGAATTATTAGCGAGGAGCAAACCATTAGTTTTTATGGACAGGAGTAATTAGCCGTCTCAGACCATAATGGCGGCGAGGTCCCAGCCTACTGAGGGTGAACGAGGCCACAGTGGCGTGTGGTGCCATGTGAAATAGGCAAAGCAACAGAGGTGTGTCATAATAAATGTTTTCATCCAATAAAAAGTGACGTGTTTCATTAAACCGCTGTGTCGACTCTCCTTCGTGCAGACGTAATAAATAGACAGAAAACATGACATCGTCCACATAGAGCTTTTTATTTGGTTCGGTTGTGAAACATTCAAAGACACAAAGAAAGGTTGTTCAGACTGAACATGAAGACAGTTTTACAGGAGACACAAAGAATGCTATGTATATTATCAAAATCTATCGATGATAGGTTCCTAAGCCCCGCCGCTTTTTGCTCTGTGCCCCAATCACAGTTGAGCAAGCCTTGATCAACTTCCTCCTTTCCTGTACTTACATATGCTATATGCTAGGCTAATCTATGTTGAAAAGACAACCACATTCTGAAGATGGTTAAAGAATGAAAGAGACATACAGGGTCTCTATAGTATCAATGAATCACCAACTATTTTGATAACTGATTCACTGGTTAGTGTTTATGTTGTTAGTGTTTTTAAAGAAAAATGTCCAAATTCTTTGATTTCAGCTTCTCCAATGTGAATATTTTCTGGTTCCTTTGTTCCTCTGTGAGAGTAACCTGATTATCTTTGGGTTGTGGACTAAATAAGACATTTGAGGACGCCTCAGGCTCTAGGAAACACTGCTCAACATTTCTCAACATGTTCCTGCCCAGTGTGAACAGAAGGGACAATTACTGGAGGTAAAACCTTCAGGGCTCTCTCTGATGGGGACTTCAGTAGCCCGTGTTGTCCAGCAGATGGCGCCATCCTGCCTGCACCACATGTTCAAACAAAGAAGGGAAAACTGGGACAATGTGGAATCTTTAGGATTTGATTTGAGGATTCAAACTGAGTTCATGTTCAGTCTGAACACGTCTTAAACTTTCATCTGATCTGATGAGCAACAGCAGCTGATCAATCAGTGACTCTCCAGCTGATAGTGGACAGCAATCACTGCGTGGGTCACATAAAGCTCTCTGCTCATTGGCCCTTTATATTCTGTATATTGATAAAGTCACTGATCAGTTGATGATGTCACGCTGTATCAGCCTGTAATCAGCTGTGTTCACTTATCGCTCACACTAACCCAACAGAGGTCAGAGGTCAGAGGTCAGCCATCACTGGGGCTCCTGAAGCTCCACCAGAGTCTGGCTCAGGGGCACTTGGGCGGATTCGGTGGAGCCGGTCGGCGCTCTGAGGACGAGAGGGAGAGAGTCTAACAGAGAGGAGCAGAGTCAGAGTGTTTGACCTTTGACCTCCGCCACGTCTTTCTCCAGCTGTTCTCCCGCAGCTCGTAGCTCCTCCCTCTGCCGCAGCAACTGACCTCTGACCTCCTGCAGCCGCTCGTTCAGCTCCAGATACCGACGGCACTGCTGGAACCTGAGATCCACATCGCTGTCTGAGGGCCGGGGCGAGTCTGAGGACGAGAACCAGTCGGTAAACTACAGGACCACAGTCGGATTAAATACTACAGGACCAACAGTCAGCGGTTAAACTTACAGGACAACAGTCGGTAAACTACAGAGACAACAGTCGGTAAAACTTACAGACAACAGTCGGGTAAACTACCAGGACAACACGTCGGTAAAAAACTACAGGACAACAGTCGGGTAAGGAACTACAGGACAACAGTCGGGTAAACTACAGGAACAACAGTCCGGTAAACTACAGACAAACAGGTCCGGTAAATACAGGACAAACAGGCTCGGTAAACTACAGGACAAACAGTCGGTAAAACTACAGGACAAAACAGAATCCGGTAAACTTACAGGAGCAACAGTCGTAAACTACAGGACAAACAGTCTGGTAAAATACAGGAAAACAGGTTCTGAGGGT